TTCCGATCACTTTTTTGAAAGAGTTTTTTCAAAAAAGCAAGCAATTTAGATGTGATTCTTTCAGAAAAAAAAAACTTTTTTCAAAAGAACCTGTAATCCTCAATTTTTTGAAAGAGCCACATCTAAACTGCTTGCTTTTTTAAAAAAAGCTCTTTCAAGAAAGCGATTGGAGTAAGATATGCAAATTACCACCAAATTTGCATATCTTCTTTCAAAAGTGAAAGCAAGTCTAGACATACCCTATGGCCCCTAAATCCCTTTCTTCAGTACTCCTTCCTGGGCAGTTGCTTCCCATTCTGTATGTGAGAAACAGATTGTTTCTTCCTAAGTGGAGCACTTTGTATTTGTCCTTAGTAAACTTCATCCTATTTACCTCAGACCATTTCTCCAGTTTGTCTAGATCATTTTGAATTATGACCCTATCCTCTAAAGCAGTTGCAACCCCTCCCTGCTTGTTATCATCCTCAAACTTAGTAAGTGTACTCTCTATACCAATATCTAAATCATTAATGAAGATGTTGAACAGAATGGGTCCCAAACAGACCCCTGCGGAACCCTACGTGTTAAACCCTTCCAGCAGGATTGTGAACTGTTAATAACTACTCTCTGAAAATGGTTATCCAGCCAGTTATGCACCCACCTTACAATACTCCCATCTAAGTTTTATTTACCTAGTTTATTGATAAGAAGTTCATGCAAGGCTGTATCAAATGCCTTACTAAAGTCTAGGTATACCACGTCCATCACTTCTCCCTATCCACCAGACTCATTATCCTATCAAAGAAAGCTATCAGATTGGTTTGACATGATTTGTTCTTTACAAATCCATGCTGGCTGTGACTTTTCACCTTAATATGTCTTACCTGTCTCCATGAGCAGTAAATAGAAGCTTGAGAGAGGTCCAAAGGCAACAGTACAACACCTTTCTGGTTGTCTTAATCCTTGGGCTACTGAGCCCTAAGTTTGTCCTAAAGAGCAACTAGGAGCAACTTTAGGGCTGCCTAAGTCATAACAACAGGATTCTGGGATCATCTGGCATCCCTGGAGCAAAAGACCATAGGCCCATACTCTTTTTCCCAGCCATGTTCTAGAGGGGTCATGGAATAGTATAGGAGTCACTGCCTTGATCTCTGCACTAAGGGTACATCTACACTGGGGCACTATTTCAGGATACTTCTGATATCTCAAAATATCTATTCTGTGTCTTTTAAGAAAGCCCATTATCATTTATAACAGAGTTTTAAAAAGGACTAGATAAATTCGTGGAAGATAAGTCCATCAATGGCTATTAGGATAGGAGGAAAGGTCCATTAATGAGCAGGGATAGTGTCCCTAGCCTCTGTTTATAAAAGCTGGAAATAGGCAAGGGGAATCGATCACTTTATTATTATTGTTCTGTTCATTCCCTCTGGAAACCTGTCATTGGCCACTGTCGAAAGACAAGATACTAGGCTAGACGGAACATTGGTTTAACCAAGTATGGACATTATTATGTTCTTATGTTCTCAATACAAAACTAAACTATTCCAGTTCTGAAATGAATTAATTGATATTTAAATCTCTGAATGCTCCTTAACACATTTATTGGAGAACATCTTTATACTCCCTCCAAAAATTATTTTTCATATGCATTTTGACACTGTATAGCAGCAGGAGATCATTATCCTGAGATAATATTTTCTTCCAAGTGATGTATTTTTACTTGTACTTCATCTTCTTTCATAGGATTAAAATATGCACTCAGATTCCCATGGGTTTTGTTAATCAAATGGTGAATTTCAAAGGATTTGTCAAAGACAAGTTTAGAATGTCAAACAAAGATCTTTTCCCCCACACCTAATATATAATTTTAATATTGGTTTAACAAGTTTAACTCGTTTACAAATCCTTGCCATGAAAATCTCAGAAACAAAACATTCATTCTTTTGTTTAGTGATTATATTCAGGAATGTATTATTTTTAATGTGGCGTTACCAAATTACAGGGTCAACGTAATTACAAAACCTATGTTTTTAGTGATTTTATTAAATTGAGTGAAATCTCTATATAATATTTTAACAAATTAAGTATGTCTATCAAACATTAATATTCACAAATATTAGACATGTGTGCTGTTTTTAAGGTGAATAGCCTTTGTGTGAATACTGACTAAAAGATAACCAAATGTGTAAGTCCCTACCTTTCCTCCACGTTGATGATATGTTCATTTTTCCATAGCCCCAACCTCCCATATTTATTGAATAATTTCTCAATGGTTGGGCTATTTTTCTTTTCTAAGTAGAGGCTACCAATGGCTGAAAGATACTAGCAGATGAGAGATTAATTCTTCATTTCCTTGTGAGGCCTAATATTTTAATAGTACTATTTTTCACAAAGGATACAAAGGTTCTGAGAAATATTTACTTTTTTTTAAAAATTCTAAGAGCAGTAAAATTCCATGCTCAAACAAATCACTGTGCTCATGTTTTACAGTTTCAGCTCTAGCCCTTAGATATGTGAAAGCCAAAGGGGTTATTTAACTCTCCAAAATTCATTTCTGTCTTCCATGAGCACAATGAGTACATAAAATACTCATAAAATGAGTACACAGCTAAAGTACATAAAATAATACAAGGGCAAAGCTTTCAAAGTTCATTATTATTGTATGTCTGTGCATTAACTTCCTTTCAAAAAACCAAATTTTGAAATCCTTATTTAGACAAAACTCCCACTGATTTCAAAGGGAAATTTGCCAGAATAAGGACTAGGCCTTATAATTATATAATATTTGGACTAGCATAATTTCACTGTATTACTAACTATAGATTCACTTAATGCAGTTCACTTCCAACCCAGAAAAATGTTATTATGTAGTAGCAATAGGACCAAATCAGAACCTTGCCAAATCTCAGGCATTAGATAAGGGTCTCTTTCTCCATTATGTTGCATCTTATGTAGTTATATACATTTATGCAAATTATATATGTCTTATATAAGTATAAACAATCTGTACTTTGTGTCTCATCTCACCTCTATGTCATCATCTATGAGTCATAATACTTCCCCCTTCCCCACAAACTTTGAGGAAGTTTGTGTGTATCTGAACTTTGACCTTCAGGTTCATCTCTAAAATGTCATTATTTTTTCCCAAATACTTTTCTATGGGGTTATTAAACAGCACTGGAAATATAAACAAGCAGTTCAGTACTGTCTCTCTAAAGTTTAAAACCTGATCCTAGAGCATAGCCCTTGTCATGCGGTGTGATCACAGAGGACCCCTTGAGATTGTTCCCTGGTGTGCTGTTCATGCCATTGACACCTGCCTTCTTGATCTCTGAGGCTCCCCACCACCCTGTTCTGCTGGGCCATATCCTCTGGTCTCCCCCAGGCAAGGTACAGAGTTGGGGTTACCGCTACACCTGCCTTCTTGATCTCTGAGGCTCCCCACCACCCTGTTCTGCTGGGCCATATCCTCTGGTCTCCCCCAGGCAAGGTACAGAGTTGGGGTTACCGCTACCCTGAAGAGCAATACAGACACTGAACCACCTCAGCTCTTGGAGAATGCAGTTGGAAGGCACAGCACCCAGGAAACCAACCCCCAAAAAGGATCAAACCCCCAAATAAATCTATCTTTCTCTGGGTAAAAGTTTTACACAAGGAAAGTTCATAAGGTTGTACGCCCTCTTTATTAATGAAAGAGAGATAGGCACAGTGGTCCTTCCCTTCAGGTAACAATTATTTACATTGGGCCTGATAGTAAACAAGAGGTTTTTTAAGAACAAACAATAGGATTTAAGTGGTTGCAAGTGAAAACAAATCAAAGTAAGTCACTAAATTATAGTGAAGAGAAAACACATAGCTAGAGGTAATTCACTAAAAAACTTATTGCGAGAAGATTCTTACCCTAATGAGCTGTTCCTGTCCTACGCATAGTCTTCTGATCAGAGACTCTTTTAGCCTGGCTTGGGGCCCCAGCCCTCTTTGGATTGCATAAGGTCAGCCAAAGACAAAGGGATGATAGCTTCCCACTGCTTAAATAGTCTTTCTTCCAGGGCGGGAACCTTTTGTTCTAATCTACATCCCCCTTTCCAGGGAAAAGTACCAGGTCAAAAAGGAACCCCAGTACCAGGTAATATGCTCATATGTCTTATTAGACTAGTCACCTTTTGATTTACAAGAAAAACAAGTCTGTTTACAAGTCGGTAAGTTGATCACCAAGTCGTTAAAGCTTGAGGGGGATGGGGGAGAGTTTGGAGGGGAAACTGTAATGGTTCTCATTAGCACACTTAGTACTATAAATAGTGTCATACTTCTTATTACTAACTTTACATACATGAATGATACATGCACCAAAACAGGATATACACATCCAACAGACTGTAACATTAAAATTGATAGGTTACATGAGGTATTTTATAAAGATTCTTTAAGTTATGCATATTTATATTCATAAACCAAACTTGATAAAGTGGGGTAGAAAGTCTTAGATCTCTCCCTCAGACCAGAGCTACTCAACAACCATGACAGTAGTTCACACAGAATATCTTCTGTAACATGCCCCTTCCACTGCATAAGATGAAGAGTTGTGAAAGGTGATGAATCCACACAGTAGTGAATACACCAACCTCACATTTTTTCCTCTTCTGATCCACACTGATATTTCTGCTACATATCCCAAATCCTGCCCTGTCCACATCACAAATCTGCACTAGTTTAGTTTCACATGGCTTGCCTCCCTCCTCCAAGCAACAAAGGCAGAGTAAAGGGAAGGATTTGTCCCTAATCCATAGAGGAGGGATAGCTCAGTGATTTGAGCATTGGCCTGTTAAACCCTGGGTTGTGAGTTCAATCCTTGGAGGCCATTTGGGATAAAAATGTGTTGAGGATGGTATTTGGTCCTGCTGTGAAGGCAGGGGACTGGACTTGCTGACCCTTCCAGTTCTAGGAGATATTCACTCTCCATTAATTTTTAATTGTTCATCTTTTAATTGATGATGATAACGATGATGGAGGGGAAGAGAAAACTTTAGGGAACATGAGCATATGTATTTTTGGAAATTATTTAAAATATTATTGAAATTAATATACTCATAATTTAAAGGAGATAGTAATCCCAAGGGAGGGAGCATCCCCAAATAAAATAAGCCAGAAACTTTATAACACTGAGTACTATGGAGTAGGTGGTGAGGAATGCCCTTACAGAGGCTCCCTGCCTAAAGCTAACTCCCCATAATTAAGCATCTAAATTTTGAACAATTGGTGAATACATTTGTATGTAACTTAAAAACCATATCCTAATTTGAAATACTTTTACCACACTCTACCGGGCAGCAAATTGCTCTCATGCTCCCTCTAGTGGTCAATTGCACTCCATGGGGTGGGAGAGCTGTAAATGATAGAAATATTAACTGATACATAAACTGGGTTTAGAAATAATTAAGATACTTTAAGAAATTGTATGGACTTTGGGTGCTGTTTTCCAATAAAATGTTAATATGCAAAGCTGTGATGCATGACTATCTGGAGTTGCATATTGCAGTAATTTCAATGATTATATATGATAGAGATATGCTTATATATTTTTTCCTTGATCAAGAGTTTAAGATTTTATTTAATTTAGTGCACAAAATGAAGATGACACCTATAACATAATATTCTCCATATAATGAGATACTGAGTGACAATTGTATTGTGTATCTGACAATCATTTTCTGCCTTTATCTCTGCAAACATTATTATACTTCTTAAAGCTGTTAAGAAGTTTTAGGCCACAATGCATTCAGGAGGCATCAAAGCAAGATGAAGGGAGGTCCAAGCTGTAGCCAGTAGGGTGAACAAATACGGGATACCATAAAGTTTTACAAACCTTATTCTAGCACTAGCTGATTGGGATTGGGTAGGGTAGATTGCTTCTCTCCCATTCCCTAGCATACTTCCCATATTAATATGGGTCCTGTGGATCAGGAGGCCATCTGTTCGGTAATGTGGCATGGCACCTGTTCTAGATGGGGTTACCCTGCCCCTGAAAGAACAGGTACATAGCTTGGGAGTCCTCCTGGACCCCTTTTTAACATTTGAAAATCAGATTTCTTCGGTGGCCAGGAGTGCCTTTGGGCAATTTCGTTTGATCTGCCAGCTGCGACCCTTACTAAATAAGCATGACTTGGCCACAGTGATCCATGCTCTTACATCCCAACTAGATTACTATAATGCACTTTATGTGGGACTGCCTTTAAAGATCCTTCGGAAACTGCAACTAGTCCAGAATGCGGCTGCTTGAGTTTTAACTAACACTAGTTATATGGAGCACTTTATGCCAATGCTTCGGCAGCTGCACTGGCTTCCGGTATGTTTCCGGGCACAATTTAAGGTTTTAGTTATGACCTATAAATCCTTAAATGAGTTGGGTCTGGGGTATCTGAAGGACCGTCTTCTCCCATATGAACCTGCCCGGGGATTGAGGTCAATTGGGGAGGCTTTGCTTCGTGTTTCCCCACTTGTGGAGATAAGACTAACATCTACACAGAACAGAGCATTCTCAGCTTTTGCTCCCAGGCTGTGGAATTCTCTTCCTCGGGATATTCACATGGCGCCAACATTAGCATTGTTTCAACATCAGGCTAAAGCCACACTTTTTATTCGTGCTTTTATTAATATTTGAGTCTGTATATGTGTGTTCCTCCTCTCTGGCTGAGTCTAGACTGGCATGATTTTGCGCAAATACTTTTAACGGAAAAGCTTTTCCATTAAAAGTATTTGTGCAAGAGAGCATCTATACTGGCATGTGCCTTTGCGCAAAAGATTTGCTTTTTCGCAAAAGCATCCGTGCCAATGTAGACGCTCTCTTGCGCAAGGAAGCTCCAATGGCCATTTTAGCCATCAGGCTTTCTTGCGCAAGAAATTAATGTTGCTGTCTACATTGGCCCTCTTGCACAAGAATACTCACAAGAATACTTGTGCAAGAGGGCTTATCCCTGAGCGGAAGCGTCAGGGTATTTGCGCAAGAACCACTGATTTTATACATTACTCCCAGCCAGTGTAGACAGGCAGCAAGATTTTGCGCAAAAGCGGCCCCTTTTGCGCAAAATCATGCCAGTCTAGACGCACCTCATATGTTTTTAGCTGGTTATGTCCCTCTGAGGTCTCATATTTTAAATTTTTATATATATTTGTATTGTATTTTTTTTATAAGCCACCTTGAATATTTTAAATAGAAAGGCGGGATAAAAATATTTAAATAAATAAATAAATAAAATTAATTAATTGATTTGGCCTTCATGCAAGCTAGGTGATAAAAATCACCCTCAACTGACCTCTTATAATCTGCAATGGAAATAGTGAATATTTAAAAAATGCATAAGTGAGCCCAGAGATTGTAACAAGGGTATGGTATAAAAATAGTAAAAACCTTAGTTACTTCAGACAATGGCTATATATAAATATATAATCAGGACTTATAAACATTTTAACTGAAAACTGCATCCACACTGAATTGAAATGTGAAATAATTGTAACTTCCTTCTAGTGCAATTCAAAACCAACCCTATATATCTTCATGTAACAATGTGAAATTGTAAGCCTTAGATGGAACCATAAACAGAGATTTCCCCACCAATCTTTTCTAATCCTCAGCATTTCTATGATTGCAGCCAACTCTAAAGAACTTTGCACAATAAAAGATGTAATGCAGTCTTACTGATAGTTTAAAAAAAAATATTTCAAGCTCTTACGAGTTTATGGAAATTGAACAGGCGTGAGAAAGCTGAGAGACAATTCCTTAATTTTGAGCAAAGGATTATAAAGAATGCCAAGTTTTATTTAATCCTGCAAACATAATCAATTTCTCCTATTTCCTGTATTTATACATATTAGGAACAAGTAATACATATATTCAAGAGGGTTTGGTATTAATCCTGAGACTTGGGGATTGAACACAATGAACTTTATTTTTGGAAGAACACAATATTTTGTCATGAAATTTGTTGCTAAAGTTGCTTTCAAAACCAATGCAGCTATTTTAAAATGCTATTTTAAAAGTGGAAGAAGAAACTATGGGTATGTCTACACTACAGAGGTGTTTTTGGAAAAACGTCATTTTTTCTGAAAAAACTTCAATTACATCCACACTACAATTGTATTCTTTAGGGGAAAAAATTGAAAGAACTGAGGGGATTTTCCAACATTGGTAAACCGCTTTCTATAAGGAAGAAGCCTTTTTCCGAAAAAGCTCTTTTGGAATTAGGTGTGTGTGGCGGGGAAGAGGGAGTTCTTTCACAAGAAGAGGAAAGAGAAAAAAGCACAGGTGCCCTGGTGGTCATTCTGCCCATAGTAATCACAGTTTACATGTGAGATAGCGTCCATTCAGTATGGACGCTATCTTGTCAAAAAAGAAGATTGCTTTTTCAATGCAGTTTGGCAGTATGGATGCTCTCTTTCAGAAGAAGTATTTTTGGAAGAGCTCTTCTGGAAAAGCTTCTTCCGAAAGAAGCCTGTAGTCTAGACATAGCCTAACATGTATCCAGAACATTCTGTAGCCAGATCATAGAATCACAGAACTGGAAGGGACCTCGAGAGGTCACCGAGTCCAGTCCACTGCACTCACGGCAGAACCAAGCACTGTCTAGATCCATGATCACCAACCGGTAGATCGCGATCGTAGAGTCTCCATAGGTTGTTCTTCAGTTCCCCTTGGTGGGAACTGCTGGGGCAGTGTTGGAGGCTGAACACCCTGGCCAGCTGGGCTGGAGCAAAGAGGGGCAGCCACCCGGCCAGTTGGCCGTGGTGTTCAGCCTGCTGAGGTTGTGCCTCACTGAAGCTGGTTGGGCAGCCACCCCTCTTTGCTCCAGTCCACGTGGAGCATGGTGCAGCCTCAGCAGGCTGAACACCATGGCCTGCTGGCTGCTCCTCTTTGTTTTAGCTAAGCTGTGCTGGAGAAAAGAGGAGCAGCTTTCCGGCCAGCTGGCCATGGCATTCAGTCCCCAGAGGCTGCGCCACACTCTAGCTGGGATGGAGCAAAGAGGGACAGCTGCCCTGACCAGATGCCCGTGACCAGACCCCCACCAGCACCCTGCCTCCTCCCCCCTTGTTCTTATGTCTCTTTTTTATAGCTGGGCACTATATTTACCCATTTCCAGTCTTCTGGAATCACTCTTGACTTCTATGACTTTTCAAAGATGATAGCTAAAGGTTCAGATACCTCCTCTCTCAGCTCCTTGAGTATTCTAGCAGGTATTTCATCAGGCCCTGGTGACTTGCAGACATCTAACTTTTCTAAGTAATTTTAACTTACTTTTTTATTTTAATTTCTAAACCTACCCCATTTCCACTAGTATTCACTGTGTTAGACATCCTGGCACCATCCATCTTCTTGACAAAAACTGAAACAAATAAGTTAAGAACCTCTGCCATTTCCAAGTTTCCTGTTACTGTTTCTCCCTCTTCACTGAGCAATGTGTCTAACTAGATTTAGCTCATTTTGTGCCTTTACCTTTCTAACCTTGCCCCTGAATACCTGTGTTGCTTGCTCATATTCATCCTTTGTATTTTGACCTAGTTTCCATTTTGTATATAAATCCTTTTTGATTTTTAGATTATATAAAATCTGCTGGTTGAGTCAAGGTGGTCTCCTGACATACTTTTTATCTTTCCTATGCATTGGAATAGCTTGCTTTTGGATCCTTAATACTGTCCCTTTAAAAAACTGCCAACTCTCTTAAATTATTTTTCCTCTTAGTCTTTCCATAGGACCTTACCTAACAGCTCTCTGAGTTTACTAAAATCTGCCTTCCTGAAACTCATTGTCTCTATTTTGCTGTTCTCCCTTCTATCATTCCTTAGAATCATGAATTCTATGATTTCATGATCACTTTTACCTAAGTTGCCTTCCACTTTCAACTAGTTCCTCCCTATTTATGAAAATCAAATCAAGAACCGCTTTCTCAACCTTCTGAAATAAAAAATGGTTTGATCTTTGTCAAACCAACCTGATAGCTTTTTTTTGACAGGCAACAGCTGTTCTCCCTTCTATCATTCCTTAGAATCATGAATTCTATGATTTCATGATCACTTTTACCTAAGTTGCCTTCCACTTTCAACTAGTTCCTCCCTATTTATGAAAATCAAATCAAGAACCGCTTTCTCAACCTTCTGAAATAAAAAATGGTTTGATCTTTGTCAAACCAACCTGATAGCTTTTTTTTGACAGGCAACAAGCCTTGTGTTGTTATATGTAGACTTTAGTAAACCTTTTGACACAGTCTGGAATGACCTTCTTAACAACAAACTAGGGAAATACAATTTAGATGGACTACTATTAGCTGGTTACATAACTGGCTGGATAACCATTCACAGAGAGTAGTTATCAGTGGTTCAGTCATGCTGGAAGGGTGGAAGAAGTGGGGTTC